AAAACAAGTTGAATATCTTTGTATCTCCTTGTGTGCTAAGGTATTTAGTTTTGAATTAGATCGTCTACGAATGATTAACATTCCCAAGAGACCCAGAGAAAGCCACCAGTACCTTTCTGTGCCTAAAGGCCCCGCGGAGATTTGGGCAATTCCGCAACGTTCGTGTTGATCAGCAGCACCGCTCCGAAAAGCAAAATTCCGTTCGAATTATTCCGACTTCAGTTGAGTGTTCGACAGGTATCTTGAGTATTTCCGGGGAGCTCGAAGTATGTCAGATTTGTGTGTGACGGTACCGGAACTCTTCTGGTCGATTCAGGGGTCCAGTCTTGTAGTCATGAATTTTAGCACATAGGTTGCCTATGGTGCTGCCGTAATGACTTATTTAATTCACTTGGCTACACTTACTACCTTAATTGACAGCAAAAATCTCGTTTTTTACTTTTCATTCATTCCGGCCACTTTTCTCTGCGCTGCCCGCCCCGAAAATATCCCTTCTAGGGGGCAGCCTGGACCCGCCAACCGCTCTTCAGAACCCCAGGTTCAATGCAGACGGCTCGTGAGGTTTCCGGGGCCTGGGGCTTTCCAGAGGGCCTTACGAAGATTTCCAGCCATGTGCTGAGTTCCAGCCTGAGGGGTAGGTCAGGCGCCGAAAGGCTTTTAGTGGAAAAAGTGACCAATCGCTGGCTGGACAGGCCTTTGAGCGACAAGAAGGGCGCTGAAAGAGAGCCCTTGACGTTTACTTCTACCACTGAGTGTCCAGAGAGCCCCTGAACGGTCGGAGCAGCAAATAAGCAACAAAAATATCCCCTTTGGAGCCAGAACGACTCTCAGGAGTACGTCTCTTCTCGTGCCTCTTGGAGGCGGTATAGGAGCGGCGAAAGGTGCCCCGAAGTGCTAATAAAACCATTGAGATTCCGGAGTATAGCGAGTGCACGGCTAAATAACCCGGCGACCAAACGGGCCATTGAACAGACCAGTGGGGTCCTGGTAGCCAGATTAGCACTAAAGTGGTCGGATGGGCCTTTGAGCGATTAGAGGTGTCCGTTGGTGGCCGGAGGACCCTCAGGCGGTCACTGGAGCCCCCGAACAGTCACCGGAAACGCCGTTGGTCAGGAACTCCTCACTGGCCAGAGGGGTCCTCTGTCAACACAGCGGGCCTGAGGAGCTGGAACGGCGCAGGAGCGACGTTGGGTACATAGAGGTCTGCAGGGGCGCAGCCAGAGTCTTGCTAATAGGATGCACAGGGTTGACGAATGCCCTCTGATAGTGAAAGGCCCCCTAAACACAAAGTACCGGATATGGCGCACCCGATTCGAGGAGGGTCATATTCTTGACTTTATTGTTCTTTTCCATATTTAATGCAAACAGGTCAGAAGTCACCGAAAGATATAATTTTCTCTTGTATTTTGAGGTCAACAAACTAAAAGCACGTGCATTAAATGACTGCATGGAATAAAGCGGCCGGTGCTATTCATTTCACAATGGCTCAGTTAACTCACTCTAAAACGATAGTACTAAGCGGTGGGCTTTCTCGGAATTGTTGCCGAATTCTATGCAGAGATATTGAGGACCCGTGATGTACATTGTAGATCGAAATAGGTCAAAATTGTGTCAACATGGCCAAGTCACGTTCCTCTGTAGATGTTAAACCTGCGTTTAGAGTTGGGCAATTACAAGTTGTGTAAGATAGTTATGAACACACACGCTCGCCAGTCTGGACCAAAAACGACATCCGGCGTAGCATTCTCCGTATGTTGCGTGGTGTCAGCCTGCGGCAGCATTAGGTGGCGGCCACTGGATGGGCGAAAACGATGGTGTATCTGAAAAAGAAGCCTTTGAACGTTTTAGGACACCAGTGAAAACGTTTAGTCCAAATGTTTATTTCATCTATGCAATCCCTAGATTGATCACAGGAACGGATTAGTAGCGCCGCGAGGTAGTGCTGAAATATTGTGGTGGAACTGGAAAAGTAAAGGTCTAACCTTTACATTTGGTGCTGCTACACCGTCATTTTGCTCAGAGGACAACCTTAAAACGAAGCGGGTCAAGTAAACAGTCCAGTCTAGTCTTTGAACGATAAGAATTGATAGCGGAAAACTTTCGGCAGCATTATTTCACGACTGTCGACCTTGCGCGCCCGGCTTCCGCCGCCTGACGTCGGCTGCAGAATGTCGGCTGCCGGTCATAAGACGGCAAGCGCAGGCTCCAAATAATGTCGTCTAATTAGTTTTATTAGTCGATTCTGTAACAGATTGGACTTAGTGAGGCTACCGTAAGTTGTCTTCTCTTATCTTTGACCACACTTCTATCCGCCCTTTTAGCGCTGGGGAGACCTCTCACCTTTTCCGGAAACGGAGCCTGTGGGTGGCACACTGGGGGGGGGGGGGGGGTACATTGCCCCTTCCGGAAGGTCAGGGATTGAAGGGGCCGTTCTCTCCCCGTGTGGCTGAAGCCTGAGCTGCGAGGGCGTAGCTGTGAACTGCAGGGAAGGTTCTCGAAAATTGTGTTCATCTGCCCGAAAGCTCATACAAGCGTGAAGCAGTCCCTGTAACGCAACATCAAATATACCACACCACCAGACGCTCAGGTCAGGGTATACATTGCTACCTCATGTTAAGAAAGAGCGATGTACATCAGCATCAGCATCAGAGCTACATCAGAGCATCGTCCGTTTTTAAACGCAGCACATATCGTAATTAACCGTAAAACAGGTCATCTAAGCTCTTACCTTGGAACTTAAATAACTACGATAGCGAACATCCGAGCGCAAACACGCAGCAACCACGGCCCCGGCGCCATTTCTACGCGTGATCGCGACATTGCTGCGCGATCACATTACTGCTTATCAAGAACTATAAAAATGTATGAGGCCGAGGTAACAAGAATTCAATAAAATGTGTTTCTTGCGTATCGAAGCAGTCTTCCGTATTGTTTGTAGATTGGTCAACATGGTGGGGAAATATGACGTTGTTCCGTGGGAATGAAAAGCAAAATGAGAATATGGCGGCTAAACAAAACTCCTTGATACGGTACATATATATGACATGGAACATGGATGCCAGTGGGACATTGGGTTGAAGGGGATAGGGTGGGGGCTATGTTAGGTTAGGTTAGGTTAGGTTAGGTTAGGTTAGGTTAGGTTAGGTTAGGTTAGGTTAGGTTAGGTTAGGTTAGGTTAGGTTAGGTTAGGTTAGGTTAGGTTAGGTTAGGTAAGGTTAGGTTAGGTTAGGTGAGGTTAGGTTAAGTTGTTAGGCTACATTAGGTTAGGTTACATTAGGTTAGGTTAGCTTAGGCTAGGCTAGTTTAGTTTAGTTTAGTTTAGGCTATATTCTGGACTTTTCTGGCCTGTCCGTTTCATAAACGTACCTAGACGCGATAAGAAATGTTTTTCATTGCATTAATATTGCTACCTTGGTCCCGTACATTTTTTATAGTTCTTGATAACCAGAAATATTGTAATTACGCAACAGCAAGGCAGTGAAGGTAGGAGCATGAATCTACCTGTTTTAAGATTATTGACGGTATGTTCCGCCTTAAACACGACGAATGGTGTACGATGATTTTTTCTAAACGTTGCGTAGGCATATATATCTACACTGACGCTCAACTACAAAAAATAATCAGGGCCAAACGGTAGCACACAATCTGCAGAAAGTACGCTCCAGTCTGAGACTAACCCAAGGGTTTCTGGCACTAAACACGTCGCTCCGTCCACTGAATCGCATTTTGTTCAGCTGACCAGTTAGTGGAGTCGCGTGCCCCACTGAGGTACAGCCTTAATGCAAACAGGCAAACTTGTGATCCGTCGTTGCTCTCATGCCGGTGCGTCATCCTCTATGCGCACATGACATTACTCGCGAGCTTCACTCAGAGGTGACACTTGAGGAGCCACTCGGCCGCCTCCGCGGTTCTCAGCACGCGGGGCATCTTGAACTGGGTGGGACTGGCGGTCGTGGTTGCCAGCAAGTGGTCCCGGAAGCGGCGGAACGCGCCCGCCGGCAGCTGACGGACGACAACCGGGCATACGCGCTCCCGCCGCCGACTGTTGTCGTAGCTCGCGTGCCGCCGTCGTAGCGTCTCGTCCACCTGCGGAGAGGCGCGAGCTGTCGGTGTGGGCCGCAGTTGTGGCCAGGCCTCCCACCAGGGGCGGGGGGTATTGCGTGGTGTAGCCGGGGCAGGTGTTTGCGTTTGAATTTTGGTGCAATATTTCGCACCTTGTTGCCTGAATGTCTTCCAAGATCTTCAGCTATTGTTGGCAGTTCTTAAGCACATTTGGGCTATGTATGGGGCCTGCGTCATATCAGCGTGACTACCACGAGGCTACTACGAATCGTCTACCAAATAATGTTGTTAGACAAAGTAGAAGATCATACAAACTCGCAACCACGCATTTTTTGACATACATTGTGTTCATACAACCAGTGAACGTTCGGGAATATCGCTAGAACGTCCTTCAACGGCCTGCTCAGCTCCGCTGGCTGCGTGGTCTCACCAGTTTGGTCTGTTCGTCAGACAGCAGCGGTCCGTCCAGCTCTACAAACAGATGGAAGTGGGGAGCCAGCTGATGCTCGGAGAGCGGCAGCAGCTGACTGGGAGCGACCGTATAGTCCACGAGGTGCACGTCCGTTGGCCAGAGGGCAAGCGCATCCTCCAGCGCCTCGAAGAACACCTTCTCCGATACCATCTCGTCGCTTGCGTTCAGTATGTACCCAGCGCTGCAGGTGAAATATCGTGGCAGCGTGTGACCTTGAAAACTTGGCAGCTGCTATATTGTTTTCTACCAGTAAGAATCCAACTATAAAGGAAAAACCAACCCATTTTGCTACCTTAATTATAACGTAAAAAGCGGTTTAAGGGAAACAGTTTTTACTTCATACAAAAGCTGTACCTCGGAAGAATATTCTTTCTCGAAACCTGCCAGCTGGTGCTTTAAGGATGCACTTGAAGACGGAAGCCAAGAGCCTCTCGCAAAAACGCACGCACGCACGCACGCACACCACTCACCGGTATAATATTTCCACCTGTGGTGTGCGGTTGAAGTACCCGGCGAAGCGGACAACGTCTCCGAGTCTGTAGCGACACAAACCACCCCTGGTGGTGACAAGCAGCTCGTACTCGCCGCCTTCCTGCAGCTGGTCGGCCAGCAGCGGCTCCTGCCGACCGATCTCCGCCAGTTCCTGGATCCGGTCGTCCACCACCGGCAGGAACTCGAAGAAGGCCGCTTTAGGCATAAGGGTGTAGACGGGTCGCTCGGGGCGCCGGAAATCTGTGATGGCGGCCACGAGGCCGACCTCTGTGCAGCCGTACACCTGCGCGATCACCGGCACGTTGCCAGCGTACAGCGCCATCTCACGGTGATAAGCTGCGTTCGTCAGCCCGGCGAACGCGCCCATGACGAACCGCAGCTCCGGCCAGAGGCGCGGTAGAAGGCCGGTCAGTCCCCCTGCGAACGCCTGCTGCACTTCGTCGGCGCGCGCAGGCAGCGGCTTCAGCTGGGTCTCGAGCTGCGCACGTACGGCGACAGGGATGGCGAGATCGTCCTTCAGCCGACCACGGCGGAGGTCGGCCACCAGGTCAGCCTGCTGCTCATGCATTCGCTTCGTCAGGCTCAGTGCGCTGTAGAGGAAGATTGAGTTGATGCATCTGAGGTCTCGGTCGCGCAGCCCAAACAGCGCGTGCACGTACAGCGACTCGGGCTCGCTCTCGATGCCAAACGCCGCCAGCGGAGTGCTGAAGCGATCGATAGGGCTGATCGCTTTGGCTACAAGAGTACCGACGCCGTCCTGTCGGTGACCGGACGCCGTGATCGGATGCTGCAGCCGCGCTGGCCGCGCTATCGTCACGAGCATCTCGCGCTGCAGGCTCCACGGCGCCACGTCGCGCCAGAGCGCCAGGTGCGTCGGGCTGAACATCCAACAGCGAACAGCGCGCTTCGCCTCCGCCGCCGTCAGAGGGAATCGCTTGTGGACGCCCGTCGTGCCGGACGTTATCGTGAACATCTCTATACTCTCGCCGTCGCCCAGCAGCGCCGAGGTCTCGCCGTCGGCCACGCGGTCGATGTAGGCCTTCACGTCCTCGTACTCGGTGACCGGCCGCGAGCGGCGGAAGGACTCCACGTCGAGCGAGGAGGCGAACTGGTGCTCACGGCCATAAGCGGTGTTCTGGTGACCGCGGACGATGCTGATCAGCAGTGTTTCCTGAACCTGCAGCGCATGCACATCACACGATTACAAACGCTGTCGGCGCAAAACAGGTCTGCTGTTGCTATGACAGTAACGGATTTGTTATGTTTTAGGTACGGAAGGATAGTTCGGCAGCTTTAATCTTGGCATGCCTTTTAACAGCTTATTGACGAAAGAATTCGGTTTTCTCACGTATAGGTTTGAATGAGCGGTATTTACTTAGGTCATTAATACTTAAATATATCGTTTTCCTGGTAATAGGATCATGCTTGAAAACGATAATTGGGAGTCACCGTTCTGATCCAACTGCGGTGCAAGATAAGACATCTTGCACCCATCTTCCTTCGCCGTTAGTGACGTGGTGTTAGGAGACCAGACGCGTGGCGATTGTGGTGCAGTTTAGACAGTTGCGCCCAGGTATTTGTTGCGCCCAGAAATGCCTACAACTTGTAGGCATTTCAACGGACAAGGTGAATGATTCCTCACCAAGGCGAGCAAAGGGTACACTGATAACAAAATTACAGCGTAGTGACATTTATTTGGAGTTTTTCTTCCTTTCCCTTCCATGACAGATCATTGTGCCCCACACGGCAGGACAAAAAAGGCGCTCCATCATGCTTGCCGCAAGACACCGTCATTACTCTATCTCACGGGCGACGACGTCATCACGCATCCGGCTGTGTAGAACGGCATTGCTCTACTACTGTCGTGCCAAACGTTGGGTATTCTGGTTTACTCGATGTTTTCGGTTTCCAAACCTCGATGGGTTTTGGACGTCTTTGTCTGCGCTTACAGTTGCCCAAAACCAACGCGGTATGGCTACGGGTGCCACTGGTCGAGTTTTGTGACCCTTTTCCTTGACTTCACGGCAACAGGGTGTTTTAGCCCAATGAGAGGAAACCAACACTCCCAGCTGCCAAGCTGGATTGATAATCACCGCTGCGTGGCCCAATTTTATTGCAATTCAATCATCCATATTGTCTTGTAACAGCTATGATTTAATTAGCCTGGTGCAACCCAAATGCATTCGATGACACAAAGTGTCTGGACGTAAAACGCAGAGAACTAAAACGCATGAACATCGTATAGGGTCAGTTTGTCGTTCAGTTTGCATCTTTTTCTACAGTTATGGTCCCCAAAGCAAGTTTAGATACTAAATGGCGCACACCCTAAATGGCGCATGCTGCTATGACTCACCTTTTCGAAGTTCCGAGTGTCCGCCAGAAACTGACGGTACGCCCAGTGTATTTGCAGTGAGTGAATGACCTTGAGCGCATGCAGCCTGAGGGCCTGCGGCCAGGTCAGATCGGCGGAGCAGCCGCGCCGCATGACATCGGCGACAGCAGCCAGCAGCACCAGCAGCGGGGCTGCCGAAAGAGAACGGGCTCAACGTTGTTTGGTTGACTATTGACGCAGCACCGCGCTGTCGTATGTTAGCTGCGGCCTGCAAGCTGTGTCATCGTGCACATCCAAAACCTGCCCTGTAATCGAAATCCTGTGCGTGCGTGCGTGCGTGCGTGCGTGCGTGCGTGCGTGCGTGCGTGCGTGCGTGCGTGCGTGCGTGCGTGCGTGCGTGCGTGCGTGCGTGCGTGCGTGCGTTGCGTGCGTGCGTGCGTGCGTGCGTGCGTGCGTGCGTGCGTGCGTGCGTGCGTGTGTGTGTGTGTGTGTGTGTGTGTGTGTGTGTGTGTGTGTGTGTGTGTGTGTGTGTGTGTGTGTGTGTGTGTGTGTGTGTGTGTGTGTGTGTGTGTGTGTGTGTGTGTGTGTGTGTGTGTGTGTGTGTGTGTGTGTGTGTGTGTGTGTGTGTGTGTGTGTGTGTGTGTGTGTGTGTGTGTGTGTGTGTGTGTGTGTGTGTGTGGTGTGTGTGTGTGTGTGTGTGTGTGTGTGTGTGTGTGTGTGTGTGTGTGTGTGTGTGTGTGTTGTGTGTGTGTGTGTGTGTGTGTGTGTGTGTGTGTGTGTGTTTGTAGGGGAGGGGAGGTTCTGTGGTCAGTGCTTGCGCTGCGTAGCTACCCGGCTTCCGCTGGTGTTGTGCGCCGCCGGCTGCCACTATTACGCCTCCTCGCAAGGACAAATTTATCATGAGAAGCCCATTGGTCAGCTTACGAGCCAGATGATGGTAAGCGTACGACTCGGCACGCACGGATTCCGGTACACTCGACATCAACACACGTGTGAGCCACAGGGCTAGAATGGAGTGGGTGACTGGCGTATTTGCGGGGTGGTGGGTTCGGTCAGGCACCATGAAGAGCTCCTCGCTGCGGATGGTTATCCGCAACTAACCACGGGATCCCACCTCCACCAGATGGTTGGTGGTAGTATATAAGCGAGGCTAAAACGACACCGCATGCAGCGAAAACTTTAAACGTGCTGAATTCCCTGGTACGCCAAAATTGGTAGGGATCACGCGCAATCGGAAAGTTGCACTGATTAAGACCCGCTACATATCGGCCCTGGGGCGCGTCCCTCAGAGGCCTGGAGGTAGACAGTGCACCTGCTAGGACGGTGGAGCCCGTCGGCAGACAGTGAGCGTGCGGTGTGGGCTGTTTACGCTCCACAGTCTCCACCGCTGGTGCACTCTGGACACTCGTACTGACCGGCCTGACCGGCCTATTCGACGACTTGATGCCTTTTTGCCCTCTCTGTGGGCTTCTCGGGATCTCTATTCGTACTTGAATATTTATCCTACTTGAAAATCCTGCCATCTAGGGCTTGTGAGATCTAGTGTACACCCGTCAGAAGAGAACAATCACCTGAGCCACGTAGGATCCCTGTCCACTGGTGGTGGGGGGACTGTGTGGCGGCAATTTTTAAGCGACAGCGGACGTTAAATGTTTTTTAGTGATCTGCAGCGACAGTTTGGTCACTTTTTAAAAAGGCAAGATAATTGGCCAACGCATCACACGCGGGGCCAAACGTGCCTAATGGACGGAACATCTGAATGACTTAAGTCGCTACACCCCACCCAGTGGTCGTGTGTGGCAGCGAGCTAGCTGCATCTCCGGTCGGCGCGTTCCTGTTGCAATTCCGGTGCTGAATACCCAGGAAGTATCTAACAAAATAGACCTGGCTTTTGCAGTTAGGTGCCAGCATGGAACAGACAGGGAACAGACTGAATCGACGTCAATCAATTTTAGTATTCCTGGCTCAGAAATTTATGAGCACAACTGACCATTCGCTATTATGGAGCTCCGTAGTGCTGTTAGGAAGGCAAGGGGTGTGTTCCTTGGTCGGGGTGAGTTCACAATCATACGCCAAATTACCTAAAAAGACGTCTCTAGATGCTCTCCTTGGACTTTTCAACTACATGTGGTTGTATGAAGACTTCTCAGAGTCCTGGCGGGATTTCATTATAGACCCGATACAAATATCCAGAAAATGTTTCCGACCTAATGCACTGTCGTCCAGTTACGCTGACTTCATCCCTATGGAGAATAGAAAGGATGGTACATGATCATCTCGTATGATACCTTGGAGTTCACGGCTGTCTGTCTAAGCTGCAATGTGGATTTCAAGACAACCGACGTGCTGTTGACCATTTATCGATCTTACATGCAGCTACACGACATGCTTTTAAACTAGAACGTCATGTGATAGCCATCTTCCTCGACCTTGGGAATGCTTATGATATCAACTGACGCCGTGACGTTACTGACAACGAACACAAGTGTAAACTTCGAGACTTCATGACATTGTTTATTGAACACTTTGTACATCGCTGATATTTCCTTGTTCGACTGGATGGAACGCTGTCAGACCGTTATGAACAGTAGAATGGTGTTCCCCAAGGGAGCGTCCTTAGCGTAGCTGTGTTTGCACCGGTGATTGACGATATCGCCAATACTCTGCAACCCACCAATAGTCGGTCACTATTTGTGCATGACTTTGCCATCTGGTGAACGGCATTGACGGCGGCATCCGCAGAGAGACAGCTTCAGTTATGTCTCATTCGGATAACTGTGTGAAGTCTAGGGAAACGTTCCAATTTTTACCGCCGAAGTCAAGAGCATGCACTTCTGCTCAACGAGTCGCGACTGCAGAGACCTGGAGTTGCGACTTTGTACAGCCACTTGTCAGCATGTCAGCATGTCATGCGGCCTTTTTTGGGTCTCGCATTTGACCGTCGGCCCATATTTCTGAAGTACCTGAAGGTGGTAAAGATTGTGTGAACCTCTCGAAAATTGTATATCGTATGACCTTTATAACGATAGGTGTACGCCGGTGAACCTGTAAAGAGTATTAATTTGATCGATGGTCGACTACGTATCGATTCTCTCTACGGCAGTGCCCCTACCTATTCGAAGCGGTCGTGAGACTGTAAAACAAACAAACGAGCAGATAGTTTTCTGGTAAAAGAGAACAAAACCGTGCCTTTGAGCCGCGTTACCTATCAAAAATTTATCTGCATAAGAGCGCGTCTGTGGCCGTTTTTGTCCCTTCTCAATCCTGACTATAGCCAAGCCGCACTGCTCGGGGGCGTTCCGCGCTCATCACTCTTCGCGGCCGTCGCTGCGCGGCTCGACCCCCGTTAAAGGGGCAGCGGTATGCGTATCGTCAAGGTTATCCTAGAGCGAACTACTGGAAAGCAGATTTAAACCAACCCCATGGCCCGTGGTGTGCTTATGCCACGCATGTAGCATGGGCGACGAAAATTGTATCATTTCTGCATCTCAAATAAATTTACCGTGAGCCTTTGGAGTGCACAGCATTGCGGAGGTTACACTACAATCCATCCACTACAATCCACGCAGGGGCGCTCCTCTGGTCTAGCGCCTGTAACGAGTGGGCAGCGCAAGCTGTTCATTTCATTGCCAAGCAACCTTGTCGGTACGTGATCTACTGCACCGTGTCCCTCCCCCCCCCCCCGCCGCTCCTTTTCCATTACCAGCATTCCGGCATCCCATCCCCTCACCACTCCTCATCCCCGTTTTATCGGGGTTGCCGTGCCCGCTCGCCAGCGACCCCCGATTAATCGAATTCTGGTGGCTGAGGAGCGCGTCGCGTGGGTCAGTCACGGCGCGTCCCAATATTTTACTTTGGCAAGAATATACGGGGACACGGAGGGGGGGGGGGGGTGGCGTAGAGATCCATACAGAAACGGCTTAAGTGGTCAAGGGGCGGCAGTGCCGAGCCACGGCCAGAACGGGGACGGTCAACACGGTTACATCTGGCCGTGTGGGGGGCGTCATCGACCCCGTGTAGCGCCGGGGTAACCCTGGCGTTGACCACCTCCCGAGGGGGGAATGTGTCCCCCAGTTGGGCTCCATGGTGGCTGGGGAGCTCTGTTTCTGAAATAAAAACCATCTTGTATGGCATCTTCTCACTCTGAAAACACTCTGTCCCCGAAAGGAGGTCAGGCCTCAATAACCCCAGGGTGCAGAGAAGATTTTGATCTCCACGCTCTACGGATCCTCATCTTTGGAAATGATGAGATTAGGCGGGCCTTTCTGTCACTGTTTCAAAGATGAAGTGGTTGCGATATGTTCGCAAAAGTGTGACAACCTGCAGGATAGAACGAAAAATATTTCAGTCTGCTAGTGATTTGAAGGCGAGGCAGGCCACGAAAGCAAATGAATTTACGTATAGCGTTCGAGACAAAGCTGGCAAGCATAAACTGATCCGTGCCAATGTCAACGACACCGCACAACACCAAACATTTGTCCAGAAGCGTGCTAACCGTTTTGATCTGCGCGACGTCAACGCGGGCGAAAAAGTCGAGGAACTGTCGGAGTTTGGTGTGATCGCCGCTTGCAGTATCCTTGTCGAAACGGGAGGACATTTAATGGCAAACCAACAGCGTCCTGCTCACGTTCAGTCGCTCTGACTTGTCGTCCGAGATACGTGTGGGATACGCAAGGGAAGGTTCGCCTGCTTTGCCTATCGCCATGCAGTTCTATCGGTGCAGTGATTTGGCCACTCCGAACATGACTATGGAACCACGCAGCGTGTGACAAATTATCTCCCTCAAGTGCACAAGCAAAGTCTACACTTCTTAAAAACCCTTTGCATCATTTGCGGCAAGGACCAGGTTCCTCATGCGACGCACGACCGCGCATCTCAGCCCAGCCTACCCGAACGAAAAAAAAACATGAGCTAAGTTTTCATCGCATATGGCAACTAGTCTGCAGAGACAACTTAAAGCTCAAAAGGCGTTTTAGTGCAAAACGTCGTAAAGGGCTGCAATGCAAAACCATACCTGCATTTGTCGACAAAGAGAAGATCACAGGACAGGCTGTAACGACTTACGTCATGACACTCCCTCTTGGTTCGGTAGCCGTTTACCTTCAAAGTGAAACTAAACGGCGAATGACGGCAAGCGTCAGAACATGCTGGTAAAACCTGCTGGTACGAATAAGCAAAGCCGGTATCAAAAGAAAAAAAATTGTTTGCGTATCATTTTACCGATAGCTCACCAGCCACCAATCTATACCATCTTGCATTTTGTCAACCTACCCCTTAAGTTGACCTTCAAAGTTTTCTGCTGTTACAATTAAAGCCCATTTACCTTGGAGCTTGACGCAGGCTATCTCGTGAGAGCTGTATTGACTGCGAATATAAAAAACCCTGGCGTTCTGGCGTTTCCGGCCAGTTTTACCTGGCATCTGACCACCAAGAAAACCTGGTTTGTACTTTTGTTTGCTTTCTACCGCAGTTAACAGCGGCCAACTTGTTAAAGCAGTTAACTTTATACAATCTGTAAGCTACGAGGTTAACAGCTCCCCGTCATTCTACCTTGGAAACGACGTTGACTGGCAAAGATCCTTGACGTTCACCCTGGAGGTCATCAGCCGTCGCGTTAACAGTCAAGGTTCTGATTTAGTCTTGTACTAAGTGCTTCGTGACGCCGTTTTAGCAACGAATACGGATAGGTTTTGTCCTTACACCCAAGTCCTACAGTTTGCACTTCCCTCCTTTTGTAGTCTGAAATATCTTTGAACATCAAACGTTGTTTCGATAAAAACTTGGCCTATCCTACCACTCGACACGGGATAGGTGGCAACAGGCCTTTTTCTGCAAATTTCATCACTTAACTGTTTTGGTTTTTCCGATCTTTGACATTGAATTTGACCTTGAAGGTCGCCAACGGTTGAAGGTAAAATGTTGCTCACTCTGAAGTTTGAAAACCAGCCGCCTTTTGTTTCGGTGTTCGGAAGAAGAGCATAACTTATATTCATTTCTCCATAATGGACAAAGTCAGACGGCAAAAATTAGACGCCGATAAAAGTAAACAGAAACCAGGGCTCAATTGGGGAAAGGTCGAATGCCAAAGGATCAAAAGGGATAATCATAGGCAGTGATAAAAGAAGGATGGAAAAGGGGTCGAATAACAAAAATTAACGAGAATATGAGTGGGCATTAAGCAGTGATGAAAGTTGAATTGCGACGACAAAAAAGCTGGAAGAGATTATAGCTGACAGGAATAACAAGTTGGAAACAACTCACCGATGGGGACAAAACACCAATGAGAACCAGTAACTAGACCCTGGCTTTTATAAAACAACTGATGAGAGCCAGGGAAACAAAGTTGGGTGCTTATGGAAAACCAATGGGAACCAGGATCTCGGCTCCAGTACTTGTGAAGAAACCGGTGGGGACCGGAAACCCATAGATTTATTTGTGAAGAGCCAGTGAGTACCATGGACCAGGGAGCTCTGTTTGTATACAACCAGTGTGATTCGTGACCCGGGGCTGCGGTTTACGAAAAAGCTTCGATTTCAGAAAGGGGAAGTGGTAAGCACGGACCAACATTGGGAACTAGGCCCGTGTCTGTCTAACATCAGGGCTACCGAAAAAGCGGGATTTGTTGTGGGCCTAGTCGCTGTGCGCCGGCTCCCACCATGAGTGTCTGCAGTGCTAACAACCGTCCCAGAAAATGACCAAAGGGAATATGCACATTAATAAATAGTGACTGGCACGATACCCACAGCACACCGACCACTTGATGGCCTTAGGCCACGTTCCGCAGGGTTCTGGTTATGAAGGTTCGAACGCTGGCCTGCTGCCAAGAGTAGTTGCCGGGCAAGCGAGGGCGGGGCCCAAATTAGAGAACCTACTGGTGCGAGATAGTGAAACCCACTGAATCGACGGGCGCATCCGAGTGCGGCCGGCAATATGCCCTTCCATGGCAGGCGTCAAATCATTAACTCTCTCATCTGAAATCCTCTACTTGATCAAATTATTCCGATCATAGGCGGCCTTTTTATCCGTGTAGTTACTAAGCACGTCATGTTCCACATACCCTGAACTCACCTCCCAAGGTTCAAGGGATAATGTTGCCACCGCTTTTTCACAAGACAAACCTATAGGGCATTTTCACTGTCGCACAATACTGCAGGACGGCGTCCCCGTGAATAGGTTCGACTGCCAGCTTGTTTAGTCTTATTTACTCAATGTTTATTCGTGCCGAAGTACTGTATATTGATCTTTTTTGCTGGCACTTTCGGTTTGACACTTAACCAATTCCATCTTTGTCCTTTTAATTGTTTCCCAATATTTTACCATTGTCAGCTTTTCTCTTTCGATTTTGCTCCGATTCAACTTTAAACACGTCTCGACTTTATCATCTATGAATTGAGGTAATTTTGCGTTTCTCCCGCACGACTTTAATCCCTCTTGGCTCTTATCCCATTCCACTTTTTGCCCTTTGAATAACTCGATTATATTTTTATTCCAGTCAACTACAATCCCTTTTGATCTTTGTCTTTTGACTGTTTTCCAATTTAACATATAACGCTGTCATTTTTTGTTCATGTTGACTAATTTCGTTCGACTCTTTTTGTCAGCCCGTTTTCGTCTCACCTTTTCCATTCGATTTTCTTTCACTTGAACTTTTGTATAAAGAACTTGGATGTTGGTTTCGTGCGTTTCTCACGGTAAAATTGGACGTGTGACATTTTCGCCCGTTTTCCTGCAGTTTGACAATCCAGGTCAATGTTTGGCGGGATGGAGACCTCTCGTACGCTAGATTTTGACTTGGTGTATTTTTGGATCGCTTATGCGCAATGTTTTGGGAAATTGATAGTGATTTAGGCTTTTGTGTCCTTTGATGTCAAATTTTACCCTGAAAAGTAACAACTGTCGCAAAACGGAACATCAAGTAGTAAACTAATTCGGCAAGGAAAATATCTGGACAAAATTTCGTTGCAAATGGTGGAATATTTTCCGGAAACACGACTATTTACCATGCCACTCACTGTTACTAACCTTTCCACGACTACACTTTTATCAGGCATTTTAAGTCCATTGCGTCATATTCTCTCTAAATTAGGGAAAAGTCCCCCCCCCCCCCCTCCAAACGCACTGGAAAACTGAAGAGCTTCTACGTGAAATGCGCGGTTCTTTTCCAGGGTGATGTATTCAGTCTAGCAGTGCTTTTTCTCACAGCTATTGGGCTCACAAAAAAAAAAATATTGGCCGCAGCGTCAGCCGGTGCCGCATGTCACAACCCACCTGATTTTATCGTCACGTGACTGACCTAGGCAGAACACATGGTCAGACTGGTGCTGAAAAGCGCGCTGGCGATAGACCGAACGAAGTCTATAGAGGTTGCAGTGAAAAAAAACATCACTGCCATTCTTTCTACGTTAAATTTTTCAACGCCCCGACTTTCAAATGCTTTCAAACCGAATTACACCTTCAAAAAGCTGGGGGCTGGCGGGTGGCGATCGAGCTGACTCAACTTTGCTCTTGCTTGCTGTATTACAATCATTATGTACTTTTCTTTATTTAGTGCTAAAGCATTGAACATTTACGCAGCTTCCTTCGCATTCCAATCATTTTCGCAACCCTCATGTCTCTCATATTGTCCTAGACGTAGTACACATTCTGCCTTTGCAGTCTAGTCGCATTGCGCACACCTGTTCGACTGGAATTAGCCCATATTTTGTCCCAATGCACGTACCATAGTTTCAATTCGCATCCCGGTCAACGTGACTCCTACCATCCCAACAAAATCAAAATCAAACCAATCAATTAAAATCCATCTCAACAGCACCATCTCACAAAAAACTCACCGGCGACGAGCGTCGCTGGGACGGACCAGACGCTCCCCATCTCGCGGCCAGATGGTGTGAACGCCTTCTGCGCCGTATAGCAGACTGCAGAAGAGCAGCCGCATGACCAGAGACGGGTGCAAAGCTGGTACCGGGAACCGGTTTCTGGCTTTAGTTACGGCGCCCGCGGTCGCAGTTACGGTGGTCGGTTCCACAGCGGCTTATGAAACCACATTGTCCCTTTTGAATGGTGTTGGTTTGGACAAAATCCGAACAACGATTTCTGAGTTTAGAGTTGGTTGCATGAACAGCGGCTAAGTAATGCTGTCCTGCCATGGCTGCGGTGAATTTCAAGCGGCTGCAGCGACCACAGGGCAGTGGCGCAATTCGTGACGTCATAGCATATCTGTGGCATCGCACCATTGCATGATGCCAGATAAAATGCTCGCCACTGACTGGCGTGACCGCAGTGACTGGAGCAAGCGCAGGCCTCACTGGAATCTGCTGGCGTTCGCTGTGGCGACTCTGCTGTGCATGCGCATGAAGCCTTTGTGAGAGCTGAACACCGCTAACAAGGCCGTGCAATCAGGGGTGGATTTCGGACTTCGTGACGGGATGGACCACACTTCACTGAGGGGTCTCACTCCCTCACGAAAAGTGACCAAATTTCAGCCACTTCATTTAGATGCTTTTCACTTTTCGGTCACTTTCACTTTGTCACCGGGAAGCTATCTTCCTCTGTGGATGTTGCCCTGCATTCTGTCGTCGTTCCCACTGGCTCTTTACAGCACACTTAGCTGCTGAGAGCTGTATGGCGTCGCCTGTCTCCGTTTTCCCAAGACGCGCAACTTAACCTTTACACCACTGGCATCCTCTCCACGACGGAAATGTCTATGATGTCTATAGGCAAGCTATGTAGATATGCAGATCGCCCCGCTTTTAGTTTTCCTGCAGCGATTGTTGGATTCTGCTATTCTGAGCAAAGTTTCATAGAAGATAGAGCTTTGATGTTAGCTCATCAAAACTATCGAAATCAGGCACAATGTGTCTCGAATGACTAACCATCGTTAATAGAAGCCCGCTTCCCTTTTCTGCTTTTTACATATTGTTAGATCAGACGCGTTCGATTGGATCGGTAATGCCAGTTTTCTCAAAACTATTCTGAAAAGCGAAGAAGGTCTTTTTGATCTAGCCGCTCCGACGGGAGAAATCTCTCAGGACATTCTGCTCATATCGTGCCAAAGCCCTCCTCTTTATATTATACCAAAAAATCCCGCGCCAGAACCTGTCGAACCAGTCTGTCGGCCCTGTCTCTATTTCGAACCGCGCCCATAATGGCAGCAGCGGTTGAGGGGACCTGTGCCCCTCAGGATGGACTCAAGCCTCTCCAGCTGTGGTGACACCGCAAGCCGGATCGTGCGTTCCCCCATCAAGTGTTTCGCCTCTATGCCAAGCCATCGGCAGTGGTGCTTGTCCTCCCAAATATGTCCTCATCTAGCAGCATCGTCCCAGCGCACAGCTCCGCGCTGCAACACCTGCTCGAAAGCTAACCCACCAACCGCACTGGACCGTGACGGAACCTGCTAATACGACACGGTCGACCTGCTTGTTACGTGTAGGGTTGAGTTAAACCATCAAGTAATTATTTGCCATCGGGGTCAAGAAATAAAGCGGTGCAAAAATAAATCTGAGTCCAACAGCTCGCTCCGTTGGCCCTGGGTGACATGACCGACAAGCATTTGTCACTTGTCTGCTTGCAAGTGTAGTTAAACAAATTTTGGTGCTAAAAGTATTACTTGTAATGTCCTTTCCAATGCGTGTGCGTGTGTGTGCGTGAGGTGTGTGTGTGTGGGTGTGGGTGTGGGTGTGGGTGTGGGTGTTGGTGTGGGTGTGTGGGTGTGTGGGTGGGTGTGTTTTGTAGATTTACGATGGAGTAAAAACTGCTTAACGCTTATAATACTAACATAGATATGCGTATATACATATGTATCCACACACAACAAGTATATATGCATATCCATATAACCAAAACAGCTTGAACTAATGGCATGTGCAATCCTTGTAATTATCCTAGATTTTTTAAAGCTGTGTGTGTTCTGTAATGTTTAAAATTTACCCAATTGTCAAAATGTTTGAGTAACTATTGCTAACAAAGCTTGAAGCACTCGCTGTAGGTAAATATGCACAAAAGCACGGGGCTAAGATCCACGAATTCGACGGAACGTACACTATGGCTTTGACTTCTCCCCTCTGGGGTTTACAAAGGTAGATGTTTTTTATGCGCACCTTAGCTTTGGGGTGCAAGCCTCTTACATGGTTTATAGTAACGTACTGGTCCAAGCTTCAACCAATGCACCTTTTTGCACAAAAACCTTCGCCGCCCGCTGAGCCAGTCGCAAATATTCATTTGTACTGGCGTTAAGCCCTCATGCCCGCAATATGTGGATTTAACACGACCCAAGCGTGGTATCTATGCAGGATACTAGATGCCGTATCTACAGTCGGCAACAGCTTAAGACAGCCCCCAACAGGTTCTGCTGTCGTCATGACGACGGTAGTATCGACAACGCCGTCGACGAAGGCAGTCGAGGTGCTGCTGAGGATTAAAAAAAACACTCAGACTTGCGATCCGTTGTTGTTTTCGTCCAGGTGCGTCATCCTCTATGCGCACATGATATCACTGGCGAGCTTCACTCAGAGGGTGACACTTGAGGAGCCACTCGGCCGCCTCCACGGTTCTCAGCACGCGGGGCATCTTGAATTGGGTGGGAGTGGCGGTCGTGGTTGCCAGCAAGTGGTCCCGGAAGCGGCGGAACGCGCCCGCCGGCAGCTGACGGACGACAACCGGACATACGCGCTCCCTCCATCGACTGTCGTCGTAGATCACGTGCCGCCGTCGCAGCGTCGCGTCCACCTGGGGAAAGGCGTGAGATGTTTTTTATTCTAGCGGACGGACAAAACTGAAGGCGGTACCAATCCTCAATCATGCATTTCAGGGATCCAGTTATGATCAAACAATCGGTGAACATTCGGTAGCATGGCTAAAACGTCCTTCAACGGCCTGCTCAGCTCCGCTGGCTGCGTGGCCTCACCAGTTTGGTCTGTTTGTCAGACAGCAGCGGTCCGTCCAGCTCCAAAAACAGATGGAAGTGGGGAGCCAGCTGATGCTTGGAGAGCGGCAGCAGCTGACTGGGAGCGACCGTATAGTCCACGAGTTGCACGTCCGCTGGCCAGAGGGCAAGCGCATCCTCCAGGGCCTCGAAGAACACCTTCTCTGATACCATCTCGTCGCCCGCGTTCAGTATGTACCCAGCGCTGCAGATGAAATAAGGGTGGCAGCGTGTGACCTTGAAAAGTTGGCAGCTGACCACATTGTTTTCTACCAGTAGGAATCCAACTATAAGGAAAAACCAACCCATTTTGCTACCTTAATTAAAACGTAAAAAGCGGGTTAAGGGAAACAATTTTTACTTCATACAAAAGCTGTACCTTGGAATAATATGTTTGATTGAAACCTGCCAGCTGATGCTTTAAACATGCGCTTGAGGACGGAACCCACGAGCCTCTCGCAAAAACGCACGCACGCACGCACGCACACCACTTACCGATATAATATTTCCACCTGTGGTGTCCGGTTGAAGTACCCGACAAAGCGGACAACGTCTCCGAGTCTGTACCCGACACAGACCACCCCTGGTGGTGACAAGCAGCTCGTACTCGCCGCCTTCCTGCAGCTGGTCGGCCAGCAGCGGCTCCTGCCGACCGATCTCCGCCAGTTCCTGGATCCGGTCGTCCACCACCGGCAGGAACTCGAAGAAGGCCGCTTTAAGGCAGAAGGGTGTAGACAGGTCGCGTCTGGGCGCCGGAAGTCTGTGATGGCGGCCACGAGGCCGACCTCTGAGCAGCCGTACACCTGCGCGATCACCGGCCACGTTGCCAGCATACAGCGCCATCTCACGGTGGTACGCTGCGTTCGTCAGCCCGGCGAACGCGCCCATGACGAACCGCAGCTCCGGCCAGAGGCGCGGTAGAAGGCCGGGTCAGTCCCCCTGCGAACGCACGCCTGCACTTCGTCAGCGCGCGCAGGCAGCGGCTTCAGCTGGGTCTCGAGCTGCGCACGTACGGCGGCAGGGATGGCGAGATCGTCTTCAGCCGACCACGGCCGGAGTCGGGCCACCAGGTCCGCCTGCTGCTCCTGCATCCGCTTGGTCAAGCTCAGCACGCTGTAGAGGAAGATTGAGTTGATACATCTAAGGTCTCGGTCGCGCAGCCCAAACAGCGCGTGCACATAGAGGGACTCGGGCTCGCCCTCTATTCCAAGAGCGACCACCGGGGTGCTGAGGGCGGTCGATTGGGCCGACTGTCTTGGCCAGGAGGTCGCTCAAGCCCCCCATTCGGTGGCCGGACACCGCGAGGGGATCCTGTGGCGGCGGCTCTGTCACCCTTCACGAACATCTCTCGCTGCAGATTCCACGGTGCCACGTCGCGCCAGAGCGCCAGGTGCGTCGGGCTGAACATCCAGCCGCGAACAGCGCGCTTCGCCTCCGCCGCCGTTAGAGGGAACCGCTTGTGGACGCCCGTCGTGCCGGACGTCATCGTGAACATCTCTATGCTTTCGCCGTCGCCCAGCAGCGCCGAGGTCTCGCCGTCAGCCACGCGGTCGATGTAGGTCTTCACGTCCTCGTACTCGGTGACCGGCCGCGAGCGGCGAAAAGGACTCCACGTCGAGCGAGGAGGCGAGCTGGTGCTCGCGGCCGTAAGCGGTGTTCTGGTGACCGCGGACGATGCTGATCAGCAGTGTTTGCCTGAACCTGCAGCGCATGCACAGGACATGATTACAAACGTCGGCGCAAAACCGGGCTGCTGTTGCTGTGGCGGCTACAGATCTGTTATGTTTAGATGCGGAAGGGGTGGTACGGGAACTTTAATCTTAGCATGCCTTTTAAACAGCTTATGGGCGATATAATCGCTTTTTTGCGCATAGGTTTGAATGCGTGGTATGTACTTATGTCATTAACAGTTCAACATACTGTTTTCCTGGTAATGGGATAATGCTTGAAAACGATTATCGGAGTCACTCTTTTGATCCAACTACGGTAAAAGATAAGAGATAAAGTGGGAATGTGGAATTCGTAGACAGTGATGCGTGATGGAAGTGAGGCACTTAACCCGGTGCTTTTGAATATCAGACAGCTTTGCTTCCTTGTTACAGTAGGTGCTATTATAGTGTTCCTTCTTACAGTAAGTGCTCTGGGCTGTTTATAGCGCGTCGTGTTACTGTAACTAACCTTCGCCGTTAGTGACGTGGTGTTACGGGCCCAAACGCGTGGCGATTGTGGTGCAGTTTAGGACAGTTGCGTCCAGGCATCAACTTGTAAGCGTGTCAAAGGACAAGGTGAATGATTCCTCACTAGGGCGAGCAATGGTTACACTGATAACAAATTACAGCGTAATGGCATTCATTTGGACCCTTTCCTCCTTTCCTTCTATGGAAGGGCATTGTGCCCCACACGGCAGGACAAGAAAAAAGCGCTACATTAGGCTTTCCGCAAGACACCGTCATTACTCCATCTCACGGACGACGACGTCATCACGTATCCGGCTGTGTAGAACGGCATTGACCTACTACTGTCGATCCAAACGTTGGGTACTCAGGTTTACTGCGTGATTTGGGTTTCCAAATCTCCATGGCTTCGGACGTCTTTGTTCGCGCGTACAGTTGCCCAAAACCAGCGCAATAGTGTTAAGGGGCCACTGTCCTCGAGTTTTTTGACCCTTTTCCTTGACTTCACTGCAAATAGGTGTTTTAGCCCAACGAGAGGCAACCAACACTCCCAGCTGTCAAGCTGGATTGATAATCACCGCAGGCGTGCCCAATTTTATTCAAATTTAACCATCATATTGTCTGTAACAGCTATAATTTTAATTAGCCTGGTGTTACACAAATACATTCGATGACACAAAGTGTTTAGACGTGTAACGCAAATAAATAAAACGCATAAACATCGTATAAGGTCAGTTTGTCGTTCGGTTTCCATGTTTTTTCTATAGATATCGCCCACAATCTAGCTTAGTTACTAAATGGCCCACACCCTGCATGCTGCTATGACTCACCTTTTCAAAGTTCCGAGTGTCCGCCAGAAACTGACGGTACGCCCAGTGTATTTGCCACTGAGCGGATGACCTTGAGCGCATAGAGCCTGAGGGCCTGCGGCCAGGTCAGATCGACGGAGCAGCCGCGCCGCATGACATCGCGCGACAGCAGCCAGCAGCACCAGCGCGGGCTGCCGAAAGGGAACGGGCTCAACGTTGTTTGGTTGTCTATCGACGCAGCAACCGCTCCGTCGTATGTCAGCTGCGGCCTGCGAGCTGTCATCGAGCACATTCTGTGCGTGTGCGTGTGCCTGTCCGTGCGTGCGTGCGTGCGTGCGTGTGCGTGTGCGTGTGCGTGTGTGTGTGTATGTGTGCGTGCGTGCGTGCGTGCGTGCGTATGTGTGTGCGTGCGTGTGCGCGTGCGTGTGCGTGTGGTGTGTGTGTAGGGGAGGGGAGGTTCTGTGGTCCTCGCTTGCGCTTGCGTAGCTACCCGGCTTCCGCTGGTGTTGTGCGCCACCGCCTGCCACTATTACGCTTCCTCAGAAGGCCAAATTTATCATGAGAAGCCCATTGGTCAGCATACGAGCCAAATGATGGTAAGCGCACGACTCGGCACGCACGGATTCCAGTACACCCGACATCACACACGTGTGAGCCACATGGCTAGAATGAAGTGGGTGACTGGCGTATTGGCGGGGTGGTGGGTTCGGTCAGGCACCATGAAGAGCTCCTCGCTGCGCATGACACCGCAAAACCACGAGATCCCACCTCCACCGGATGGTTGGTGGTAGTATTTAAGCGAGGGTAAAACGACATCGCATGCAGTG